GATGAGATTCATCTGCAATATCTAAAGTCAAAATTTGTGATATAGATTTATTTTGGATAAATTCTGACTTAATAAATGGTGCTAAAAAATCAATAAATAGCTGCTTCTGCTCATCATGCAATTTATGTACTAAATGCTCTTTCATTTGAAATAGACAGACATACATTTTTAATAATGGCAATTTTTATGTGTCTGTATGACACATAAAAATGCATAATTAATTGCAGTTTTTTCCTGTCATAAAATAATTTTGAAATTATTCTTTCCTTTTTGTTTCCTCCCATCATTTGTCAAATGCTTTTGCTGTAAATATCCTGTGGAATATCCTTAATACGTTCTCTGCTTTCATTACTCAGATTTCTTTGTTTATAGATACTGCAACATATATTAAAATATAATAATCTGTTATGCTGAATTAATATGCTGATTTAAAAATCCATAATAAAAAATGGTTAAACAATCAAACATGAGTAAATTACTCAACGTAACATCATATATGGACAGCCAGAGGTATTTAATAAAATGTTCAATAGCAGTATATCTGACATTTGAAATCACACATATTTCCTCTAATTTTTCTTTTAAATCAACAGACCAGTTAAACTCATTATATATATCTTGCAGGTAATCTTCTATCTACCCACCAAATGGTTTAGAAAATACCTTGGATGCATTATGTATATGATGGCAAGAATCTCCATCAATATCTAACAAATGAGGAGCCTTCTCATTACGAAGTCTCACCTCTAATCCAGACTTTGATCCTCTCATTATATTGCAAGAATCCATCAAAACAGACATGAGATTCTCAAATGGCAGCTGATTTTTGTCAAAAAGAGACACATTATTTTTTTTTTTTAAATAGTTGTTCAGCAGACACATTAAAAACATTAACAAATATTATATGCTCAACCATTACTTTATTGTGTTCTGTAGAAAAGTAGCTGGCTAATATGCAAAAAAATCTCATTCGATTACTACTCGTAGCTTCATCAATATTTAATGAAAGTTTAAACTTTTTAAAATTGTTCACAGTTTTATTGAAAAATGTTTTTGAGAGGCCTAATCTCATTTTATATGAAGCAGTAGTGCGAGCCATTGACTGCTGTGATAGTGCCTTCTTATAAGATGCCATTGCTTTGGCCAAATCAATTATCACAGGTGCTACAGTATAAGGCAAATTATTTTCAGCCATAACTCTAAGCAGTTGACCCTCTAAGCTGGAAACTCGATCACAAATTGAAATACAGTCAAATGCCGAAAATCCGCAAACTCCTAAAATCTGCGTTGCCTCTCAAAATATAAACATTTAGTTTATAGGCTCCGGAAACCGCAGTATGGAGTATGAAATATCGAAGAAAAAATACTTACTGGATAATAACGTCATAATGAGTCATAACGAAAATACCAAATTATTGACATCATGATAAGCACTTTTCCCTCCAATCTGCATCGAGGTAAAAAATCAGACAATTAACTCAACTCTTCTTTCAAGTTCACGCTTCACGTTGTCGTACTTTCTGAGCTTTGTTATTTCATGAGATTGTTTAGTAATGTCGTTTTTTTTAATCCAGATATTTTATGGATATATTAAGTATATTTTAAATTTCAGCCCTTTTTAATACAATGACAGATAAGAAATGCACTCATGATTTTACTGCTTGCAATGTTGGAAAACGTAAACACATTACATTGATGGTAATGAAAAAAGTGGAAATTCTAGCACCTGCCTCCATCTTTAGGAGGCAGGTGCTACTGCTCAGTTTATAGCAGAATCGTATGGAATTGCCACAGGGACTGTGTATGATATACGGAACAATAAAGGAAAGCTGTTGAAATTTTACAGCAACAGTGATTTTAACACCAGAATCCGAAACCTGAAATCTTCACATGAGGTGAAATCTGCAAACCTTGATGCTGTCTTGTACAAGTGGTTCCGGCAGCGGCAGAGTGATGGGGTACCTATTTCAGGTCTACTCCTGAGAGAAAAGGGGAAGCAGATTCATGCTGATTTAAAAATAGAGGAGCCTAATGTAAATTAACAATATAATATAATCAGTTTATTTATGTAATAATAATTTAATGCATATAATTAATTATTGTATTAATGTATATAATAATTTAATTAAAGGTATCTAATAAGCCTTATTTATTTTGCACTTTGAGTCTGAATATTATATTTTCTGTTCTGAAATCCGAAAATCCTAAAATCCGCACAACCTCTGGTCCCAAGCATTGTGGATTTCTGGGTTTCTACTGTACTTGGAGCTGCTAATTTTTTTTTTTTTCTATTTTTCTCTCCTGCATGCTTACGTTTGTGTCTGTCAAAGATGAATACGATGATAGCATCCTGTAATTATCTCTTTTCACTACATCTCTCCCACAATGTTTTTTGCTTTTGATATGGCTGCTAATAGCAACATATCCCCTTTTTCCATAATATATTAGATCAGAACACAATGCACACTTCACTTTTCCACTGATATCCACTTTCTGAATGCAACTGCCAATGAGCACTTCCATTTATTGTCCATTCACATGAATTTTTATGATGTTTCTCAGCCACACAAATCTGAACTTGTTTTTTTCTTCATTATCTATATGCCGAGCTTTGTGCTCATGATTCAGATTTAAGATATTCATACTGAAAAACTTACAGCAACAAACAAAAAAGAAATAACATAATGATCTACGCTTTGAATTACAGCCACTTTACACACGCTAAAACTCGCACATGCTCTGGATAAACATCAGTAGTGTATCCGTATGTCTGACAGATGGCACCAGCACCGATCGCTGAAATTATTGAAGTCAGCTCTCATTTGATGGTTGCTTGCTCTTCTTCAATTCGATATTCATACACATCTAGTTGTCTTTCCACATAAGCCCCACCTACTTCACCTTGATGTGAAACAACACATTTCACGATCTCTAGCATGATGTAAAAATTTTTTTACAAAGAGAGAGAGAGAGCATGTCCTCCGTTTACCCCCCCCACTTGTCGGTCGGATTTCTCAACGGTTCTGCATCGATCTCAGAAACAGCCCGGGTGATATTCAAAAAAGCGGAATTCCGCGAAAAAATCTCATGCCTGCTCAACACAAGCGTTAAATTTTGTAACAGTTTTTGCTGTTCTTTATTATTTTAATTCTTCCCGTTTATTTGAAATTTGGGTACAATGTAGCAGGGTTCCAAGTGGTGCACTCTGGGTAATGCAACATTTGTTACAGTGCTTATCACCTTTAAGTAGCCCTCACTAATAATTATAATTACTGAGGATTATTGACATTTGTGGAAAATAAACATATGAAGACAAGAAATTCAATTACAAATTTTCTCGTACAACCCTTCAAATATCAAAAATAATTTTGAAAGAATTATTTGAAAGGACTAGGAGAATAAATAACTCATCCTTGCAGATTTCTATGCCCACTCAACTAGCTGGGGATATTCGACAAAAAATGGAGTACGTAGCATTGTTGAAAATCTTATTGATTCAAATCCTACCAATTTCATTGTGGAGTTTCTTAAAATTTCCAGTTTTTCCAGTAAAGCGTATCTCATTCTGATTTGCTCCTGGCCCATCTGGCTTTGGCGGATAGAACACAGCAGGATCTAATCGATAGTCTAGGTGGTGCTGGACATAAAATACTTTTTACCAGTATTGTTGAATTTGGTTCTCTTTATAGGAAGCCTCGATTTCAGTAGCAAGGAGCTGAAAAAGGGCCTTGGAACTTTAGTGAAGGGTAAGAGTGCAGACACTAATGGGATCTTAACTGAATGCCTTACTAACCTTGGAGATTCAACAAAACTTGTATTACTGATGTTTATAAACCAAACATGGAAAAATGGTTTCCACGAGCCTGGAGAAAGGCTATGATAATACCAATTCTCAAACCTAACAAATATTTAGAGAATTTGGTCAGTTACCACCCGATGTGTCTTACAAACATTACATGTAAATTAACTTAGAGACTGGTTGCTAACAGCTGCTGTTTGTGCTGGACAAAAATTGATGCAACTTCTGAACGGCAGATGGCTTTTTGAAGACATAGATGTAATGATGAACAAATAGTCTGCTTATCTCAAGAGATTAAGGGTGGCTTTCAGAAAAAGCAAGGTACTATACTCACAGATTTCAAAAATGCTTTTGATAAAATTTAGAGAATTGAATTGCTTAAAAGGCTGCTTTCCTATGGCATTTCTTGCAACTTATATAAATGGATTAAAAGTTTTCTTGACCAGCAATTAATAAGTGTTAAATATAGTCAAAATGCTTCAGGTTACAGACAAACAAAACAGGGTTTACCTCAAGGAGAGGTACTAAAAGTCCTGTAATATATTTTCAATAATTTACTCTTTGTAACTAATTTAAAGAAAAGTATCTATAGGATATACTAAATATATATATTTTTTATTAAGTTCTTAACTGTTTACAAGAACAGAAAAACGTTTTAAAGAATTCCTTCAAAAAGAAAATGCTGGGCACATGCACTTTTCTTCACATGCATTAATCATTTCAAATAAACTTGATGTTCATTATTCATTACTCAAAATATAATCTGACAAATTGAAAAACCTAAATTGAATCATCTAAGAGCAGTACTTAGTTCTACCATACTAATTGTCCTTCACAGATAAATAATTACTTAAATGCACCAAATTTGTTTTATACAAACTCCCTGGTTTATAAAAGTATTTTACACAGAACATAATTTATTTCAAAACAAATCTTCCTGAAATTTTATAATACAGGGGAAAAGAAGTGATATCCACTAAGGATAATGTAAACTCTGAACTAAATAGTAAAATCTATCACATAAAAAAGTATGGTCTAGATTAAAACAACATAAATAAAATATGATAAAATGTTAACAAGGTCTGTCATAAGAATGCAACAGCTGAATTTCTGATATTAATGCAGCTTTAAGAATACTTTTAGAAAATTTGAAGTTTATTTTAAAATTAATATATATATATATAAATTAATTTAGCAATACCTCGTAATGATATGGTAATAATATATATTTCCTTCAGAGTCAGTAGCAGTTTTCCAGTTTACAGGAAGTTTAACCGGAGAAGATTTCAGTGTTGTTTCCCCATTTGTATTTTCTGATACTGTATATGATTGTGATGCAGATATCTGAAAAAGAACTTTGATTATTGAATTCAAATATTACCTCTTTTGCAACATATATCATAAAATCCTATCCTCTTGCATACAGAAATTATTTAAAGAATACAAATATTTAAAATAAGCTTTGATGGTTCTAATTTAGGTAGAAGTGTTGCAAAAGCGGTTTTGTAAGAAATCAATGTCTGAAAGTAGCATCAAGAGATCACTGTTGTTTTTGACAGCAAATCTTGCCAAAAATGAAACTGGTTTGATTCCCCCCCCCCGACAAACACAAATTTTGCATCTTCTTTCATTACAAGACAAAAAAAAAAAAAAAAAAAAAAAAAAAGGGGGGGGGGGATAATAAAATTGAATATGATTTTTTTAAAGTACAGAATTAAACTAGATATATTATGATTCTCTAAAACTTTACATGTTTTTAATGATAATAAATGTCTCATGAAATAATATATATGCAGTCAAAAATCTTTAATCCAGACTCGTCGGGACTTCAGCGATTCAGGATTATCGATTTTTCTGAATTATATATCATCAGTTTAAATCTGGCATGATAGCATGCAGACATAATAATCAACTTCCCGTTCATTGCACACCACAATGGTCCCCCCCCTCACGCAGAGCAGCGTGAAATTGATAAACAGATTTTGGAATGGTTAGAGAAACAAAGGAGCCTTTATCCATTTTTTGCAGCAATTCCACTTTTTGTTTGATGGACATCGAAACAAGCTTTCCGTTTGTAAATCCAGCATCGGAAATTCTATTTGACATAATTGAAAGTTCCAACTTACTTTTATAAAACTGCTCTAACAGTCTGCAAAAAGTAATAAGCTGGATCCAATTCGAAGATTAAGGAACAACGCAATCTGCAACATGAACTGAAATAGATAATTTTAGCTTAGCTTATACCGTCCGTTATATATTAACCGCGCATGCGTAAACTTGTTATGTGCATGCGTACACGCATATGCGCATGCGCAGAAAGTTTGTAGCTTTGAGGTCCGGATTATAGATCATTCTGGATTATGGGTGTCCGGATTAACGACTTTTGACTGTATATCTTTACAAGATAACTTATAAGTTCAGCCACTCTCGAAAATAAAGTAAACAAAAACTGAATGAAACTGTTGGGTGCAAATTTCCCGTGTGAAATTTTGTGTCTCCTATACCACATAATGCTTCACTTATGTAGTACTGCACATTTGAGAAGCTTCTTGATCCTTCAAGAATTCTTGGAATCTGCTTGAAGCTTCTTGAAACTTAACCCGATATACCAATATGTGTGGCTGTTTCATTTGGACTCACTTCATAGTGGAAGTTCAGAGCAATAATAACATTCTTCTATGAGGTTATGGTGAATTGAATTTCTTTATTAGTTGCATAACTGGTAAGTTATGCAACTAATAAAGTTGCATAACATTAATGAAAGTGATAGTGAAAATAATAAACTGTACAGAATTTGACTACTTAAAAGCAGAATCCATATACTAAATGTTTGAAGAATATGAGAAGTCGCCTAAGTCTCACCTGCTGCACATCGAAAGTAAAATGTTTGTCTCAAGGTGTTGCATGTACACAAAAAAGCAATCACATTGTTATTTATCTTATTATACATCACCAGTCCCCTACCAAATTTTGTGGCATTTCAGATGATAGACCAAGCTACAGATGGCTCTGAGTAGTGTCAGTTTAAAAGCAAACACCCCGCACAGTTGAACAGCACAATTAACAAATAATGAACTTTAAAAAAATCTTTCAAACAGTAGATCTACAGATGTGTATCTTCTCTCAAAACTACCAAATTACCTGCACTGATTTGCACAATTTTTCAATGTCTCCAGAAGTAATTAATTAAGAAAATCTAACAACTTTAGCGAGTTTTCTTGGACGTCATTTTTTTTTTCTTGTTTGAAAACTGCAGGTATCTTTCTCCTTGACAAGAAAACATTTTACACTATTTAGGCATCATTTAATGACAGGAACAGTTTTGACAACTTTGGCATCTAAAATGCCTAAAAATTTTTATGCTACAAAATCATAAATGAGAAATTTGTGTACATTCTAAATGTCTGGAACTAGCTCATCAATAGGTAAAAAATTCTCTTTGCCATACAAGCAAATTATTGCATATTAAAAAAGGCATGAGCATACAATATTAATATTTTTAATTTTTATAAATCAGATCGCAACATCATGAGCAACTCAGAGAAAATTAAAATGTTTACTTTTTAGTTTTATGTACATTTTGCTACTGACAATGTTTGCAAAATGAAAATATACAGAAATTCTATGAAAACAGCCACAAGAAATGTAGAAAATAATCTTGATAGAATTCCTTTGTATAATACTACATATTAACAACTACATAGAACAAAAAAGCTAAAACTGTTAGAATTAAAAAAAAAAAAAAAAAAAAAAAAAAACCTCTTATTTCACCTGTTCTACAGCTGATGTTCCTGCATATGGAGAACAGTACATGGTTTTCTGACCACTCTGATTTGAAGCATATCCATGTGTGACGGGAGATGCTGAAATCACCGTGTGAGCAGAAATGCAACTAGAATTTTGTACATCATTATATAAATTAGAACTCATATTATTAGATGCAGCTGTTTCTGTACCCATAGCTCTAGCTGTAGGGGACACTACTGATGGTGAAGTCACGCTTCCAGTTCCAATCAGATTAGAAACAGGAGGTAGGGTAGTAGTCTGTGGACCAAATAAAGCAACATTTTGTGGCTGCTGAGGAATAGGTGGAGGAACTCCTCCTAAATATGGTACCTGCAAAACATAGAAATTATATCTATGTACATAAAAATAAGCTTATTAATTTAAGTACTTCAAATTATACGGTAAAAGGCCTGTGATCATTTGTCCAATATACTGCAGACTTAGATATGTTGTGGATACAATTATGCCTGATAGTTTCATTATTTTGTGGCTCAGGTTTCTTAAAATCTTTGTGTCTAGTTTAGGTTTCAAACAATACATATCTGTATTGAGAATTCAGAGCAGACGCAAATTTCATACCACATAGAATAAAATTTTTGTTCATAACTCTGTACTTTTTTTATTACAATAAATTGCTTTTCATGATTTACTCATCAGCCAATGATTCAGATCTACCTTTTATCTTTCAGTAATCCTTTAACTGCATGCCCCAGATAAAGATTTACTGTGTGTAGATTTATAATTCTGTATTCCTTTGACTACATTTTATTTCTTCCACATATAGTACACTTTCTGCAAACAGTCCTTTACTACAAAATGTGCACTTCACGATCATAATGACTTGTCTTTCATTTATGGCCATCATAATCATGTCTTACCCTCACCACACAGGTGATTAGGGGGGTTTTAGCAAATTAAGAACTTAGTCATTTTCTGCAACAATCAATAATATGATTATGGGTAAACCAGGAGGAAGGAGTGGTCTTGATGTGCCTGTTCTAAAGTAACAAACTATAGTAAAGGCCAGTATATATTTAACCTGGGTTTGCTGGATGAAAAAAAAAAAAGATAAAACATTTATTTATGGCAAAGCTGTAGTAATGGAAATAAGCTTTCAAAGGATGAAAACTAATGTTTGTACTTACATATTGCTTACTTAAGCAGTCTGCACAAAGATGGGAATCTAAAAGTTAATGCACCATTCTGAAAACAGAAGCACAGCTCCTAACCTTGAAATCTTAAAAACTAGGAGATTTTTGCGAGAAATCCGGGAGAAATGGGTAGGGTGTGGGGTCACTATTTCAAAGCAATTCCAAACTAACTTTAATTCAGTTATAATGCAAGATTCTTGTTACTGAACTATTTGTAGCACAATTCTGATGTAAAATATATTTGTATTTAATTAGTTATTCTAAATTTTATGCTTTTTGGGTAATTTAATTTTTAAATTTCCTTACACTTTTACATGAAGAAAATTTTGCTTAAGTAAAGAGAAACTTTTTACCTAACAAAGTACTTTTAAACACAATGAAAATAAAAATTAATAATTACTGTATATAGTATTTGTGTAAATAAACTTAGTAATGTAACATACATTGAAATAAAATAAAATTAAATACAAATGTAACCTGATTAAGCAATGCTTGATTCTTCATATAAAAATCTACAAATGCAGATTAAGCAACTCATGAAATCCAATAAGAAAAATTAAATAAGCTCATAAAATGTAATACAAATATACAATTTGAATGAAATAAAATTAATAATGAAAAATTATTTTGAAAATCAGTAGAGTGGAGAAATGTAGTTTGCCCTGAATTGGCCTAAGTTTAATTAATTCAATAAATTTCATTTATTGCTGCGAAACATTTTCCCTAATATGGCTAAAAATTAAAAACCAGAAGATTTGGTGATCCACTGGGAGACTAAGAGATCTGATGAAAAACCACAAGAGTTGGCAGTAAAAGCAATTAAATTAAAATTTTATTGCAGGTAATTATACATTCATGGCTACTGATGGGTAAATTTCGAGATGAAAGATTCAACACGAAATATGCTAAATTAACCTTGAAGGAGCAACAGTTCTGGAAGACCATAATCAGTGATTAAAAAAAAAAAAAAAACATGCCAGTAAAACTAATGATGCAAAAATTGTAAGTTACTTTCCCAAACATCAAATGCAGTGTGTCTAAAATGATGGTAGTTATAATCACCAACAAATCTGTTACTGACATGGCAGAGGAAAACTCACATTTAAGAACATGGTTTACAGAAGAATGAATTGGAAATAACATGCAGAATATCAAGAAGAAAAATTTTAAATGGCATGCCTTATAGAAAAAAAAAGATATCTATTAAACCAACATCATTCTAAGTTTGAACTTTGCTTTTATTTAAATTTCATATCAGCATGCTTGTTTTCCATGTCAGCTAAAGATTATAAATGTTTTAAAATGTCAAAGCAAAACATCAAGGGTCAATGAATGAGATGCATATCATGTTTTTTCTTCCTTCCGTTAAAACCTAAATAATTATATATATATTTACATAAGCATACCTGCCAACCTCTAAAGATAAAAATTCAGAAGATTTCTCCAAAATTCAGAAGAACACGAAGAATTAATATATCATGCTTTGATATTAAAAAAATAACAATTTATACAAATAGAAAAAAGAAAATTGTACTTACATTAGTAAATCTCAATTAAGTAGTAACTAAAAAATTTATTAGGAAACATAAAACAAAAACTTAATGTTACACAAAAAAATTATTGCAATGAATTTAGAGTGCATTTTTTGGCTTTAGCCAAAAATTCTTTGGAAAATTTCCTATCATAACAATTAGTTTCCTCATAACATTTAGCAATTAAAATGTTTTCTAGAGTTTTTGGTGAAATTGAAGAACAAAACATAGTTTTGTTTTTCTTCACAACACTGAAGACTCTCTCGCACTCAGCATTACTGTGTGGAATTACGAGAATAGCACGTAAAAAAACTCTTGCTAGTCTATCATATTTTGGTGTTCCATCAGCTCTTTTTATTCTTTTTAAGCTACCAACGAGGACATCAAGTCTATCTTCTCCAGAACTGGCAAAGTCTTCAAACTGTGTAAATAATAACTCTGCCAAAATGACATCGGCATCCGAATTCGTAGCCGAATTTGAGGAAGCACTTCCACAGAGAACCCGGTAAATGTAAACATCGCCAACTTTGGCGATAAATAATTCAACCTGGGAACCCAGCGGATTTATCCTATTCGCTTGTTCGAAGTTTGCAACCATTCCTCTTGCGTTCACTTTGTTGAATTATCACTGTCGTTGTTCGCGTTTGCAGATTTATATTATTCTTCTCTTATTTATTACTATTTTTTCTGAATTTTTTAAAAACGAATAGATAGAAATATTTTCGTAGATAGATGCCGGTTCTCGGTTCGGGATGAAAGGAAGAAAATACGGCGGGAGGGGTAAATGCTAATTTGTAACACGGCTGTAAGCATGCAGAACTATGAGGTTTTTAACCCCTAAAATAATTTGTTTTCGTAGGCCGCAAAAATTATGCATGTGCATTTTAAGTAATTAAGTAATGCTTTTATTTTTATTATTGGTTATTGTCATCTAAAATTACGAGAATAAATCAATTTTTATGGCGTAAAATTTTAACAAGATAATATCTTGTTAATGCTTTTTTAACAATAACCTTTCAGAGGATGACAGGTGTGACATAAATAGATGATGAAATTGAAATAAAAAATATGATTGATTATCTAAGATGACAGAATAGTTTGATGCATCACCATGGTCATCAGAATTAGCAAACCACTGCTGGTGTAAGGAATATATTGTTTTCCGTGTTAACTGGAATTTAAGACAAATTTTTTTTCGTTTATCACGTTTAAACCGGGTAATTTCAGTACATTAATACTAATTTATATTTTTTATTTCCATTATAAATGCTTATATATTGTCTTATGTTTAATATATTCTTTTCTGTGCTAACTTGAATTTAATACAAATTTATTTCCATATATCATGTTTAACCGGTTAGTTTTACATCTACATGCATATTATCTGTGAATTTTTACTACCATATGCTTAATATATTGTTTTGTCTGCTAACTTGAATTTACATGCACTAAAAATCACATTTACAAAATAATAACTATCACGCTTACGCGGCTCATCGTCGATGAACCGCGAGCTTGACGAGTAAAAATGCAACGGGTTCTCTGCGGATGAAAACCCGAATTCGAAAAAAAATCATCCACTTTCTTTGACGTTGTCGAAGCCGAAACATTAACATCATGCTTTTTAAACTTAACATGCTTCACAATGTCGCGTCTTCCACCGTGACTGATTATGAAGTCACACACGCACACGTTGCAAAATGCATAGTTATTTCCTTTGAAGGATTCTTTAATTGTTGGAAATTCGGCTTTGTAGGCAGGCCGAAAATATTGAGAATACGGTTTTTTTGAACTCATTTCGTAACAACGACGTATTAAGAAAATTCGTAGCATGTGCAAACAAACACAAAAAAAAAGAAAAAAAAAAAAAAAAAAAAAAAAGAATGCGACGATTCACGCTAAAAAAATAATCTGGCACCCACAAAGAAAAGAGTGGAAGAAACAAGTTCCGCGCATTGGATTGGCTGATTAAGCGGCGAGTTGGGAGAAACAGCAGGTTACTGGATTCGAAGTAATCGGTAGTTGGCGGTAAAACACGATGCAATTGGCGAAAAATTCTAAAATTTCGACAAAAATCACTAGAAAAAGGAAAAAAAATCGTAAAAAATGGATTATGATCGTAAAATCGTAAAGACAAACGCATTTTCGTAAAAGTTGGCAGGTATGCATAAGGTATGCTATATGCCTAAATTCAATTACAAAACTTTAAAAATGGGAACTTAATAGCCTCATAAAATATTTCTAATATTCTATCCTAATTGCATATGGCAGATCAAAAACCTAAACAAAGAAAAACTTTACTCATCATCTTCACATTCTAAAATATGCAGGCAGGGTATCACTAATAAATCAAACAGATGGACTGGTAATGGCATCTTTTGGCAGTACCAACAAATACTTCTCCCTATCTGAACTTTGATGAGCATTCATTTAACTGAATTACGCAATCATATACACAAATAACTCTTCTACAAAATACAAAAATTGTAATCAATAAAAACTTTCAATTAAATAAGGGTTATAGATTAAATGTATTAATTAGTTAAATATTACAACTATGGGTTAAGAAAATGGATTAATATTGTTAAAATACTTCCTAAATTTAACTGAACTAACTAAAGGTATTCAATTTAATACTTGAGAAAAA